CAATGTTGCGCCCTTCAATGAAACGTCAGGTATGATCATTCATTTCGTGAAGTAAGATGAAGAATAAAATAGGCGTAATGAATGTAATCCTTTAAGAAGTGCGGTTATGAGGCGCTGGTTGGAAGTATTGCTTGCAGATGGTTTATCGTTACAATATCAGCAATCACAATACGGTAATTGTTACGGTTTAATTTAAATGACTGAGAGCAATATAGAAGTCAAGATGGGATAAGTGAACTAAACGGATTTAGATGCCATTTCACGTCACTTTCGTCTGTACGGAGTGACTACCTAGCTGTTATATTGCAGGATATGGGCAAGGTATGGCTGCAGTAAGATAACACCTTGTTGTACGGTATGCCAGTGAAATACAATGGTTTGTCCGGCACAACTGGCTTCGAGGTTCTCGTCGAAGAGTCCGTGATGAAACCACTATAAGCTTTCAAGAATCGTTCCAATTTCTGAAATCAAATTCCCAAATGAATATCCGATATAGTAACTGAGAACAGCATATGATCATCGTGGCACGACATTAGTGTATCTTAACGATCCGAGGTGTATCCTCTCACATTCATCGCTCATACCTTTTGGATAACTAACGATCAGTTAAAGCATACAGCATTTGCATGTTGCTCTGGGAATGTTCTGTTGGAGCCGTTGGTTTCCCAGTAATTTGCAGATGCTTCTTGCAGGAAGATGTATGGCCAGAATTCGATTGTCACCAAATTACCAAACCACTGAAAATAATACTCACATTTCAATGCAACGCAATCGACGACTGAATAATCACGAGTAGTGTTCGTCGAGGAACGGGCTCCCCGTCGACGACTCCGGCGGGGGACGCAGAGAGCGCTCCTCTCGCGCAATTTCCTTCCCGATTTTTTTGCGAGGACCCCCCCCTGTCCAATTTTCTCCCCGCGGGCNCCAATTTTCCCCCCCCGGGCCCCCCCCCCCCCCCCCCCCTTCGGGCGAAAACTGCTCCCCGACAAACACTAATCACGATATGTGGCGAAATACGCATCTCTTTCGCTTGTTTTATCTGTACAATTGCCATAATTTCTCGAATTGCTGACCTATACGAATCAGGATGGAGTGAAGAATCAGAAAAATAAAAAACGAACTTGATGAACGGTTTCGTGTGATGTGATCGAAGCGATGTACGCATAGTCATCGGCAGTTGCATACGCCTTATCAGCCAGCATGTAACGATAGAGAATATGGATGAAACCCCAATGCTCTTCAGCGCCATGCATAGTTGTGTATTGTGGCAGTGCCAGAACATCTAAAATCAATCTTTATCACCTTCTACATCCAAAACTTCTTTCTTTTCCTGCTCAAACCGCAATTCGTTCATGAATTAAAATTTCATTGCTGAAAACGAATTGAAATTTCTGAAATTAGCATCTCACAAGTCAGATTCTGGATACATGAACAAATTGTTTTTTCTCTGCTATTCTTACAACTCAAATGTCAGTTTCGAATTCAAATAGTTTCAGAGTAGAAATCATTCAACGATGATCTACACGTAAGAAAACAATTTCATCATTCCGAGATTTCTGTGTATGAATGCACGAATCGTTCAACTGCTGAAAATAACACAATCAATCATCAATGAACGACCATTGATGATAATGTGCAAACTGAGCGCAATAACGATTGCCACTCACCGAGTTTTGGAAGCATATAAGGGAATTTGAAGTATGTCGACATGAAATCAACTTGACCGGCTGCCGTCTGCAGTATGAATCGTTTCGTTAATTTAATGACTCAAACAAAGAATTTGTGGTTTTTTAAATGATTTAGAGTTTTCCTTTCTCAACTTCTCATTTTTGATTTCGGAACATGATCGTTTTCGGAGATCAGACCCCGAAGAACGTCATTTACTGCTCATAATAAGATGATATTGGAAGGTTATTCAGCCATACGAACTCATTTCGGCTTATTAAGCCATATAATCACAACGAATACGATCGTAGATTCGGAAAATTAGCTGACTTCAAAGAGGCATTCTCATTCTGTGCATGAGTCGTCGTTGCTCAACATCGAGTGTTTTGCGGTGTTTAAGAGCAAAATTTGTGCTCGGGATGTTTTGACAACGTTCAGCTGAGAATTTCTAAACGCTTGGATACGAACCCGTAAAGCGGTTTCAGCATATCTCTCCATACCGGTCCATGCCCACGTACGTACCAATACGCCAGTCTTCGAGACGGTTTGCAGTGATGCAAAATGACCGGCCGCAACAGCAATCAAATAACTGGACATTATCGGAGTTGTTGGGAAATAGCTTGTTGCCCAACCTTCAACGAATGGGATTGTGCAAATCAATACGAATAATGCAAGTATAATGACTCAACATTATGATCAACTTCAAGGATATTCGAAGGACTACGGATCGGTCTGTTATGTGCTCAAGTACAATCAGTAGTAAGTGCAGCACAGAAGTGATGCAAATTAATCTGTCAAAAGCAGCGATTCAGCTTTCGTTTCACCTTACTACAGTGACTGTTTTAATTGCTTAACTGATTGGAGCGTTATTGTGCGAATGGAATATGCGCTATGCTATGAAGTGTGCGAGGCAATTTGTAATAGCAAACTGACCGTTTGGTTGAATGGTGAAGCCTTCTTCGGGCATGTTGCTGAGTGCGATCATATCAGCCGGATGATGAACTGTGATTTTCCAGGTGGCCTTGTAGTTGGGTTGATCGAAGCATGGCGCGAGCGATCGTGCACTTGGTCCTGATTCGAAGTATGTCGAGAAGATCCATCTGAAAACAACGACAGTTTCGTTAGATACCAGAAGAGGTGCACATCAGTCCTCATGCACCGAATTTAATCGGCAGACTGATGAATGCCGCAGAAAACGTAGATAA